AAGCATTTAAATCGAAAAGCAGCTGGTCCATCAAACTCATAGTGGTAGCTCCTTTAATTACATTTATTTCTTGGAGGTGACACTCTTGCAATCTTTTCCAGAGTATAGTTAAAACAAGAATAACGAGCAACTGTCAAAGTCAGGACAGAGGAGAAAAATGTCCCATTTGACAGGGTTATAGCAGTACCTGCATGCAATCCAAAGTACTCTGGTAGCAAGAAGAAAAGCAAAAAGAGACATAAAACCACATCAGCAGTTACACTAGCCAAAAATCAACAATCTGCCAAAGATAACCCAACCCTCAGTTTGAATGAAATTGTTTTCTCGCCGACTTACAGCGTCTGCCTTGTTCCATACTGAGATTCTCACCTTATTCCCACAAGCATCTGCTTGCTAAACAAAAGCCAAATCCCACATACCAAATGCATGAGTAAGATAACCGTGCACTGTTTGAGGGCAGCCAAATCACAACATGCTTTGAGTGTCCGTGCTAAATTTCAAGCCCTCTTTTCCCAGCACATTGCAACCACCCATAAAATCAACTGGCTGCTTTGTGTCCAGACCTTTCCCAGGTCTGACACCAAGGAGCGCTGGGAATCAAGGCACAGCTCAGAACCTGGCTTTGACGTGAGTTCAAGCTGCTAACAGCCCGCTCAGTCATTTCCTCCTCGGTCAGGGAAAACAAGCAAAGTTAAGCTCTATTCACCGTATTTCCCAACAAAATTCTACACTGGATTCCTGAAATCAGGCTGTTGCCTTTTGCATCTACGCAGTGCAAAAGGCAGTTGAGAATCTTGCCTCGCGTACTTTGGAACCACTACCGAACTCCTTCGTTCCCATGACCATAATGCTCAAGGTTTTCTTTCTAAGCTGAGACAGTCCTTCTATCCATGGCATCTCTGCACAAAGAAACCATCCCATACCTCTGCTTCCCCTCATCGCTGCCTTATCACAGAACTACAGACTAGCTGAGGTTGGAAGGCAGCTCTGGAGATCACCTAGGCCAACTCGCTCAGCTCAAAGCAGGGTCAGCAGGCTGCCGAGAGCTTTGTCTAGTTGAGTTTTGAACATCTCCAAGGAGGGAGACTCCACTTATAACATTCATGCGACTGAACTCTTCCAACAGGGAAATGGATCACATGCATTCTTCGTAAATAGTACATCAAAAAGCAATCCAAACACATGTAAAAATGACAATATGCAGTATAGGCACCCCAAACCCCCTGATTTTACCCTACGCTGATGTTCTGACTATGATTATAGTTAAGTCATTTAAATGACTGTTGCTAAAAGTAAACTAGCTTTTAATGACAATTTCTCTTTCTTTGGTCTACCTGGTGTCATTGACTTATCAAGCATCTCTGTACCAGCAACATGAAAGCAAGAATATTTAACTGATCAGGCCCTTGTGGAAGAACAGGACCAGCCTCTCAAACACAGAACAAAACGACTGTCCCTTTCCTCCTTTGCACAGGTAGATGTCTAGTTTAAACCGAAGTAGCTTCTCCAGTCCTTCCATGAATTAGTTCAGAAAACATTTGGCAAGTATCAAACCTCCCTTCCCTTAAAGGCTGCTAAGAAGCCAGCTAAACCCCAACTGCCATAAGAGCAGCATCCGTATCAGCTCTGCTCCTGTCTCTGCAGCCAAAAGCAGACATCCCCCAGAAAGGACATGGAAATGGGGCAATACGTAACGTCACTTCCCCATGGTATTTGTCCAGCCTGCAACAATTTCATTCCCACCCAGTAGGACCCCAGCACTCCCAGGCTCTCCAGTTCAGATACAGGTCAGGCCCCCTTCAAAGGAGATGCTATTTGCAGCCACAGAGTCATCTCCTCCATCAAGGACACTTACCATCTTTGCTCAACTCTCCTGGGCTCCTAACAGCCACGGAGCTGCTGCCCAGCCATGGACACAGGCAAGTCAGCCTGCCATCTCTGACTGTGTCACCACTACAGACAGGACCATGGCCTCATTAGCATGAGATCTCACTGTCCAGGAGCATTCTGCTCCATCTCAGATGTTTTAGTACCCAGAAAACCTCAGTGGACTGAGAAAGCCGAAGCTGCCCCGTTTGCCATCGCACCTACCCCAACTCTCTGGCAGTCACTAAATCACCCCATCAAGCTCCAAGGTTTGGTGCTTTGCCTTTGCAGCTCCAGGAATCCACAGCCAAGGTTTTCTCCAAAGTCATCCTGATAAACACTGAGATAATGCAAATCATAACCAAAACAGCGCTCGTCACATCTGCCAGGCTGCACCGTTAAGCTGTCTGCCACCACGGCAAAGCGTGTTCTGTGTGGATATCGGAGCACTCACACAGCTGGGCCAGCCTAGCGAATGGGACAAGGGAGCCGCCTCAAACTTCATCACTCGTTACGCTCAGGCAAAGGTCTCATTTCTCCTTTTTTCCCCCTAATAAAAAGCATAGAGCACATATACACAAAAGGAATTTCAACTCACATAGACGCACGTATTCTTTCTCCCTGCTGATGACCCTAGGAAATGGAGCAGGCAGATCTGACGTTGGTTACTTAACGCATCCCTGAAAGAGCTGTGGGGCACAATCTGAATGATGCAACCTATCTGAGGACCGAGCAGGCCAGGATTTAATCCCTGAAAACTCTGATCCCAGAGACTACTCTGCCAGCACAACCGATACTTATTCACAGCAGCACCATGTTGCATCCGATCAAGACGTTAAAGCATTTTGCTCAAGAACCAACAAAACCCAGGGCATCAAGAAAGCTGACATTAAGAACAAAAGACACCAAATTTGCAGCCACTAACCCATCTTGTTTTCTTCTGTCTTACCTCTAGAAGCTGTACTGCTCCTTCATGTTCTCTTTTTGCCTCTGCCTGTGCCTAAGAAGAAATAAGAAATGGAGTAAATAAGAAAGCAGCCTACCTAAGTTCACTTCGACTATCATCCCCAGCTTGATAGACCATTATAGATTTAAAGCACTGTACAGACTGAAAGCATCTTTGGTCTTTGGACAAACAGCAGCGAGAGATCAGAACTGCCATTCAGGACAAAAGCCCTTCACTTTGCTCAGGTACCAGAGTTCGCCTAGACGCAGACACTCTTCCCTGCTTTACTTCATCCTGTAAGCTCACATATAGCTTCTCCATACACTGCACTTCCAAGGAAAGAAGGTGCAGGAGTCCCATCACTTTCCAGGGATTCAGAGGGAAACGTCCATTCTCTCACGCGCTGCGTACCTGCTGCAACCTTCTGACTTCCTCTTGCTTCTCCTGCAGGACTAGCAGCGCTTCCTTGTGCTCGACTTCCAGCTGCTGCCTTCGCTCAGCCACATTGCGCATGTGCTGCAGAACAAGGCACAGACAGCTGAAGGGCGACGTTACCGAAATACTGGCCTGTGTCCTACCATGGGCCACGAGGTCAAAATATGGCCTGTATTTCACGTCATCGTTAAACAGAGGAGAAACTAAGAAACTCTTACCACAGGCTAGAGCAACACAGTCAAAGGAAATCCTTAAATCAGGGATGGCCACCTTATTTCTCCTCCCACCCAAATCCCTGAAGCAGCCTTTCTAAAGCACCTCTGCCCACTTTGGAAGGCCATGTTCCAGGATCCCGCAGAAACAGAATTCCCAACGGAAGCACAGAGACAAAAGAATGGACCAAAAAAGCAAAGAGGCAACATGTGCCATCCAAAAGCAGCACTAAGTGTCTGGCCAGTTCTTCCAGCCGTGGGGATCCTACTGACCTTCAGCACCTGCTCTAGATTCTCCAGCTTGGTTTGGAGTCCTTGATTCGTCTGAATTACTGAATCCCGTTCCTTAGTAACCAAAACAACCTGCAATTTCAGGTCAGCATTCTCAGATTCAACCTGAAGAGAAAGGATTTTCAATTAGCACAAGCAGCCACAGGTATTCCTTGTATAAATCACGGAGGACGATTTATTTCTGTATCTCAATAGGTTGTTTTGCAGACCTGCTTTCTACTTGTAATGACACCAAAATCATGAACCTCCTCTCCCTCTGGCTTTCACTCAAAACAAATACACGAGTGTTTGTATCAGTTCTCAATGTGATGAACGCTTTATTTGCACATACTGCTTCTCCCACTAGACTCATCTCCCCTCCCCATTTGCAAGGGGGAAGGGACTGGGATACGAACAGGCTACATACTGAAGAGACAGGAAAAAAGCACAAAGGCCTACGAGCTTTTTTAAGCCTAGGTGGTAGGATTAAACACAGAGAACAGTACGGAAAGTTCAGTAGCCTGCTGAAATCATGTTTACCTCCTCCACTTACTACAGGAAATTCCAGCGACATATTTTGGTTCTAGAGTGCACTATGGCTTGATGACTATTAGCAATGCAGATTATCAAGCAGAGACAAACATTTCCACTTAGAACAAACAGTTATTAAATATGTGGGAAGCCTTATGCACGGTGGCAACGTTGACACAACGGACAGACAAGTGACTTCCGAACTCTTGCGTACTCCATTTGTCCAGAGAAGGAGCTGGGAACAGAAACCCATGGAGGATCTTCACTGGAGTTCCAACTCTTCCATCACACGCAACAACACGTTTCTAGAACGCAACCCTCTGAGGTGCAGCCACCCTCCCCAGAAATCCGCTCTGCAAACTGAACCATGCGAGTATCCTGCCTTTGTCCCAAGACCCGAAGCTTTTGGGTTTTCCATCTGGCAAGGGCAGCTCTGAATTGCAGGCGTGGCTTTCTCCCCTGCCCCATCATCAGCCACCAAAACCTCGCTTTGAGGAGAACAAAAAAATGTCAATGGTGACTGAGGACTTCCAAACACACCATATGTTTGCACCACTTGCAGTGACGGGTTCTGCTCTACTCCACTCTGCTCCCCACCAACCCCAGTCCGTCTTTCGTTATGAACTCATTAACAAGCTACCGCAGGTAAACCAAGTATGAATTTAAGTAAGGTCAAAGCATCTCACTCAAGTCTTGGGAAACTGTAATAAAAATAGGGCAGCTAACTGCTCTGCTCGCAGTTACCATGGGGTACGCAGGACAGAGAGCTACACAGATGGACACAGGACCATTACGCAGATGGCAACTTGAAAACCTAGCACGCTAGCAAGTTCTTCTCAGCAAAATTTTACGGAAGCTAATGCTCCATCTGACAAACAAAGATACTGCTTTTTACCTGTCCTGCCCATCCAGCCTTCTCGTTCAGCTGCAAGTTCTCTTCGGCCAGTCGTGCATTTTCACTTTGTACCTCCTGCAGCTGGATCTCCTGTCCAGAAAGAGCGGGCATTACTACACCAAGGCCCTCAGACTCACTCCCCCCAGTTATCCTGCAGAGCAGCTCCACTGCTCCTGTTGACTGACGGTGCAGGATGCTGATGGGATGCTGCTTGAGGGATAGAAGGCAACAGCTCAAGCAGATGCCAGCCCCGTGCCAGGCGATTTCTTAAGTTTCTTTTCCCATTTATGTAGCCTCAAAGCTCAGAACGAGAAAGACATTTCCTTGTCTACTTCACAGCTCCAGCGTCACATACTGCTGCCTAGAACTCCATATCCACCACCAACAATTCATCAAGTTTCATGGTTGGTTCAAGATCAGAGTCTTTTTGACAAATTTCAGTTAAGGAAGAAAAATTCTTTGGAAGAATGATGCTAAAGAGAGTTCTAGACTGCAAACTCAAGAGTTTTAAAGGGTTGATTCTGAAAGCAGGATTCAGTCTGGAGTTAAGAGAGCAACAGGAGCCAGCTATCACCCTGCCTCAGAGAGCACCGTCTCTGAGCCGGCAGGAGACCATGGACACATGGAGAGACACTGACTGCATTTGTCAGGTCCAGTCCATCCGCAGCAACTTTGTACAGCATTAAAGGAATTTAATAGCTGCATAATCACATGACTCCACATAGACACGCACACACATTTCCCCATCCCAGTGTTTTATGGATCATCATATATTTTTTGGCTATCCCAGGAGCTAATTCCCTGTGCGCACAGTCTGAGTCCCAGTACTTCAAGGTGAGTTGGTCCCTTCTTGACCCTGAAAAGCTACTGTCTAACAACATCCAACGACCAACTTATTCCTCAAACATCCCATTCTAACCTAGACAATGAGGCTGAGCAACGCACTATGAACGGTGTATGAGTCCGAGCTATGCATTAGAACTGACCTGAACTGAGATTTGAGCAAGACATAGAACATCTATGCAGAAGGTAAGCACCCTTGGGTGAAACCACACATTGTCATAGTCACTAATGCCACCAGTGTTGCCCAGCAAAGTAGAAACAGAAAGGAGAAATCCAGATGCTGTGATATGACCTGCAAAACCTCCATGAAATTAAACAGAGGCAAGATTTCACCCAGCAAATGAGAAGCACAAGAAAATGACTGTAGGTTTGTGTAATTACCATCTCAAGACGCAGAAATCTTTGATACTCGTCTGGAGTGCATGTGAAAACGGTAAGTATCTCCTCAAACTAGCAAAGGCCACAGTTTCATCCAGTGATTTATGCAGCTATATTCAACCCACAGCTAGCTGAAGACTAAATGAACAATTCCAGCCTCACAGGCTGGAGCCCAAAATTTGTGACACTGTTCAAATGAAGACTGGTGCTTCCTTATTAAGATAAACTGAAGAGAATCCAAGAGAGGCATGCAACAACCTAACTCCTCTTCTACCATTATGCTCACAACAGCAGGCAACAAGAACACTTACCAGTTCTTTGCATCTTTTATGCTTTTTCCTCACTTCATGCTCAAGGTTTTCACATTTTTTGCGCTTTTTCTTGAGTTCAAATTCCTGCACGAAACACGCATAACTAGATCAGTAAGTCCACATTCTTACAATGCATAAGAAATTCAAGCCCAGCCTCTCAGACCCAATGCCATATTAGCTATTTTTATTTTCTTAAGAAAATCTCTTTGTGACAAACACAAACAATACAGAAGCCAAGGGAGATATTTTTAAAAGGTAGTAAACCCAAAAAACTTCTCAGGTGAAACAGCTTCTCTTCCCCAAGCCTTTCATCTTCTGGAAACAGTTCTCTGTTTCCCACCTGCACAGATTGTTCCTATTTGTACAGAATAGTATGGAGGACAGGATGCGGGGGACAAAAAGACAGAGCTGTGCAAAATATTCAGCCTGCAACACTAGCTGTGCTACCTTAGCTCCTATGCTAATCCAAATGACATCTAACAGAGAGCAGACATCGTCTGGTTATGTACCTTTATCTGCAGCGACTGATAACTGCCGAACTTCACTGTGAACTGTCCTAGTTTGCTGGAATAATTCAGAAGGGACATACTCCTTACATGACATCCATCCCAGGTCACTCATATCTGTTCCCAGCTCAAATAAGAGTAAACCAAACACAGCACAGAATCTACTGACGCGTTTCCCTCTCATTTTAGTGTGACGCATTCTCCCGCCAGCCCAATACCTGGAGCTGCCACCCAGCAACACTCTCCATGCAGACAGCCTGTTTTGTCCCACTGAATCCCCAAGCTTCCCACTTTTGCAGAGCAGCTGCACCTAAAAAGACTTCAGCCCCCAAAACCTCTGCCTGGATTGCACAGGTGAAAACCCCAAGAAAAAGTATAGCACTCCTTCACCCAAAACCAGGTTCACAACTCACCAGCTGCTGTATCTGTTGGCTGCTCTCTTGGTCTGTTATTGCATCTTGGGGAGGGAAATTTTCATGCCCTTCAGAGGCAGGTCCTAGCGGTTGCACACCTGGTTCCACCTGGAAAGCAAGCGAGATGCCAGAGAGCTCAGGGACAGCCAGGACTACCGAGCACACCATGCACACCGAGGGAGAAGAGCCTCTCCTGGCAGTACCGCCTGGGAGAGCAACGCTCCACGTGAAAACCCCTGATCTCTGAACTGCACCACTGGACATGGAGAAAGGTGAAGACCATGCCAGGGATCTCTCAGCCACCAGAGACCTGTGCTGGGAGTCTTCTGGAGCCCAGCACCAATCAATCCAGCTTGACTAAACCACCCACATGCAACAGTGGCCTCCAGAAAGCTCTCAGGTCTGAATACCCATTTGTGCCTCATCGAGGGTTTCAATGAGAGGCATCAGCAACACCTTTCACGGCCCTCTCCAAAGCAATAAAAAGAAGATGGAAGGTGGTCAGAAGGGAGAACACAACCCTCATAAACAGCAGAAAGTAGAAATCAGTGAAGACATCAGAATCTGAAGGCAAGGAAGAGCAGACAAAAAATACCAAGAAATGGAGCATCCCACCTCAGCTGGTAGCTGAGGACCGAAATGGCAGCACATGTGCTATGGCTTTTGTGCCACCACCAAACCAGATGAAAGGAGACACTTTTCTGTACATGTTTGTACACAAGCTTCTAACAAAATGCCTTTTAATTTGGGCTACAGACAAACACACCTTTAATCCCCTGAATTTTCACTCTCAACTCATATTTGACTTGACATTGTCTGCCTAGAGTAACCCCTGGCAGCAGGGCAAGGCCTGAGGTAAACAGAAGAAAGAGGGCTTTGATAACGCTCTAAACATTGAATTTAAAGTTATTTTTGATAAACAGATTTTAGGGACAGGAGATCTTTAGAATCATCAAAGCCAACTTGTACAGCAAGCAAGGAGCAGCATTTTGTGACTCCGTCTCAGCCTTTAACCTTCGGTTGACCTCTCGGCAGCAGCGGAATTTCTCATTTCACTCTGAACACCTCCCGTGCCGAGGGACCTATGTCACTAAGTCTGAGCTCCCTTTACAGTCCGTCATTAGGACGGCGTCTGAGCACTATACCTAAAACGCGATTTCTGTTACCTGTTTTAGGCTTGAAAGCCACAGGTTTTAACTACATCCATATTCGTGGCTCCACTGCTGAAAACCAGAAAACTCGAAGAGACTACACTCAAGCTCAGGCTACCAAGGCTTTCGCATTTTCTACTCCAAGGAAAATTCCGAAACCACCTCTCATGTGAACCTTATTCCCTACCACCCATGGCATAAGGTTAACCTGGAGTCTGGCAGTCTGAGCACCAACCAGCGGCTGGAAATCTGGAGACCCTCCACCCAAGCGGCGGTACCTTGGGAGCTTTCAGATGTGCGGTGAAACCAGTATTTAACTCTGCATAAACGCTTCTGAGACTTTTTAAACCACCTGGCACATACTAAGCTTCAAATCCGTATTTCACAGCTCCCCTCCAAAAGTATGCTTCCTCACAAAACTGAAAATGTTGCATTTTTGTCAACTGTAATGAAATTAGGTTTCAAGGAATGCCAGTGGATGCCAGCTAAGGTTATACACTCACTGCGCAAGCACCCCGCGCTACGCTTCACAAGTCACGCTCTCTTGCAAATAGAGATGCAAGACAAATTTGCTTGTTTGTGATCATTTCCCAGCAAAAAGCTAAACAAAATGATTCCTAATTACAGGCAACTTACAAAAATTACAAAATTATAAAGTTGCCCACACGGACCTAATTTCCACCCAAGAACAAAGACACGCCCCCAGGCACATGCTGATATGCTGTTATTTTTATGCAGAATCCAGACTCATCGCCGTATTAAACGACTGATAAACGAGACTGGCACACATCACGACGCGAGCTGCGACCTGGAGCTGCGCCACCTCATTCACAGCAGGGGCTGGAAAATGCTCAACGAATAAGCCAGGTGCAAGGAATCAGTTAAAAATCACTGTAGAACAGCTGCTTTCCACCCCCAGCGCCATCCACCTGGGGTGCGCTGACACTGGCAGAGGCCCTGCCGAGAGAGCAGGATGGGGCTGTACCGCTGCTCAGCACCCCCAGGCTGTACCAGCTAAAGCCAAATACACAACAGGCACAGAAGTACCCGTACTTTGGCAAACGACCAGAAAGTTTAAAGCAGGCAACAGAGTAAATTAAAAATGTTGTAGGCTTTCTAGAAAGCTCTGCCCTTGGCATCATCATCATCATCATCGCAATCCTGCCCCGAAAGAATCGCTACAGCGTTTTCCTCCTAACCATGCCCCATTCCCTCAGCTGTGCCAGCGCAGCTCTGCGCAGGCAGAACCGGACCAGAAAATTGATGCAGGTTTCAGGACGAGGGGGGAGGAAGGCTGGGTTTGCCAGGTTGTTTTTAACTCGGATCCGTCACGTCCCACTGCTCGACATGAGTTGCACCGACACAACTGAAAGGGCAGCGGGAACACGCAGTGGTGACCAGGAGGCTGCTGAAGCCAGCACCGCCGCTGAAAGAAATCCCCGCTAAATTATGATTTGTCATTACAGAAACAAGCATCGCCCCAAAACCCTAAATAAAGAAGTAGAGAAATCAGAAGGAGAACAGAGAAATGGGATTTTCCAAGGACACTTAGAAGAGACATTTGCTCCTTATACTCTGAGGAAGTTTTTTGAAAGCTGGGGAATACTGCCCTGACGCACTGTGCTGGGGACCAGGATAGAAGAGCAAAGTAATTTCTTTTAATTAGGACAACTGTGCTTACTGCCCCAAGAGCTGACTTCACCCTCAGCAGGGCAGCCCTGCGCCCGCGTGAATACAGCCCGTTGAGCCCGGCGTGTTCTGCGCTACAGGTTTCAGCTGGCAACAGCCTCCTTGCTCCCCCTTCAGCAGCGCTGCCGGGCTTAGTCTTGTTGCTATTTATCAGCCAGAAAGTCTTCTGACCGTGAGGACAGGCTCTCCTGAATCAGAGAAATAAAGAGCATCCATGAGAAAGATCGTAATACACGTTCTTGTCTGCCAGAATCTGCAGGGTCAGCTGAAAACCAAGGTATGGAAGGGCCATTCAAGGAAGTCAAGGGCAGAGCAGAGGGGGAAAAAAAGTCATCTCTGCATCCCTCTTCATCACGGAGGAATTTGGGGGGCGAGGAGCCACCAGGGCAGAAATCTCCAACTACGAAGAACAGAGCCAAGGATCTCTCTCAAACTGAACTGTCTCTAAGAAGAACTGTGGAAGCCAACAAAACAAACAGTAACAAATCACCAAGACCAGACAATATTCACCCAAGGGTTCAAAAACCCCCTTAGACAGGAACTGAATCTCTCACTTCAGCAGTAACTGAATCAAGACGTGTAGCGTGTCGCTCCTCCGACACCGCCTTCATACGAAGTAACTGGAAATGTCAAGTTTTAAGCGTATTCCAGTGCAGATCTGTGGAAACACAGACCAGTACATTTGACAGCTGTTCCTGGCAAACTGATAGAAATTGCAACAAAGATTAGGCAGATACTTAAAAAAAACCCAAAGAAATGTATATTGGGGAAAAAAAAACCCACACTCACAAATCTGTAAGAGTTGTTCTAAGGTGTGAGCAAGCAAATAGGTGAGGGAGATCCAGCAGGGACAATCTGCTTGGGTGCTCTGAACACATTCAGCTACAGCGCTTTGAAAGGCTTCTGCAGATGCTGAGCCAGCACAGGATGAGGGGGAAGGTTTTCTCTCAGCTAAATATCTAGTAAAAATGAGAGGACTAAAAGAGAGGCAGCAGGAACCGTGCTCTCCAAGCACTGATGTAGCAGAGAGACAAATGGCAAAGACGGCCTCATGACACTGAGGGATTAGAGAAGGAAATCAGACAAATGATGTTTTAACAGAACCCTGTGCTCAGACAAAAAGGCAAAGACATCTGTTGGGAAAGGGAGAGAAAACTTCATTATGCCACCGTATAAATCAACGACACAGCGTCTGGGATACCGCATGCAGCGCTGCCTCCCCCAACACAGAATGACAGAGAAAACGTACAAAGGAAGGAGACAAAGATGATTAACACTGAATAATGGAAGAGGCTAGAAAGAAAAAAAAAAAACGGCTGGAGGAGAGGGGCCTATAAACTCACGAGTGACTTGGAAAAGACGAACAAGGAATGAATATTCAATACATCTTCTGTAAGAGCTGGGGAGCAAGAAATGAGAGCAGCTGGTGGGAGCTGGGAGGGCAGACGAGCGGCCCGTCCTCACGCAGCCCACAGATGAGAAATTCTGCCAGGGCACCCCGAGGCTACTGACACCTTCGGAAAGAAACGGGGTGACCCCACGCAGGACGAACCCTCCGGGAGCCAGCGGACCCCGCGCTGCCGCCCCTGCCTCGGGAAACCCGCGAAGGGCCGGAGCCGGGGGCAGCGGGGGGCATCTGCCACCCGGGGC